CGACTTATTGTATTATAGTTTACAACAAAATTGCTAAAGGGAATGGAAATCTTTGACGACAAGTGTAACAAATCTAGCAATTTTTTGCACACTAATCAATGTAACGTTCAGTTTCAATGCCTCAGATTACATTTTTCACATTCACAGTTTTGATTAAAAATAGGCAGCTTCATATCAGCAAAAAAAACAAAAAGACCCCAAAATGTAGATGGAACAGCTAAACAAAACTTGCAAATAAGGTAAACCCCCAACCCTCCTCAATCTTCCAAAATCCTTCGGCGGTTTTGGAGGATTGAGGCTGAATGGCAAAAGTGCACGGGTGATTGCAAAGGATGCCATGCGTGAAGGTCGTGGATTAGACCATGTGTTGTTTTTGCTTAGTCAAGCACAAATTCAGCCCAATATTTATTTTGCATCAACCACATTGCTTAAGAATGCCCTTCGCACGGCCTTAACATAATAAATTTGAAGATAATAAACCTGAGAAAAATGTCCAATTTCATAATTATTTAGAAAAGCTTCTTGACTCTCCATAAACTTTATACACAGCAGCTGAAGTGAAGCTGGCACACAACATTCTTTCCCAACAAATGCCAACAGCATGCACCCGATTTATCTTCTGAGATATAACTGACGCATGCCGAACATGACGGTAGGGAGTCAGGTTGGTGCAGTGGTTCTTTCCTCGGCTTCCACTACTGTGGTCTGGGTTTGAATTGCAGCTCAGTCCACATGTGGATTGGGTTTTCAGTCCCTACCTGTTTCAGTGGGATTCTACCCAGAATACTCCTCTGAGTTTTCCTCCCACCTCTAAAACTGCAAGTTGCAACTGCTTCTTTTTGTCTCCTCCCTACAAGTTGATGCGATGTTTCCATGGGATGCTTTCCCAACTTTATGACACAGATAGATTGATAGGATTCCAACTGCAGTCTCTCAAGCTTGAGACTCCCACTCAAACATAACAATGGTTATGATAACATCATTTAGGCTTAATCTCAAAGGGGCAAAAACAGTGTTATGAACTTGTGGTCTCAGGGAAAATCTGAATTATTGACCAAACCATGAACCATAAAATATATTCAGCTTCACTGTTTATGCGCTATGAATATCTCCCACACTGTTTCAGTTATATTTATCATGTTGCAGGAAAAAAAAGAAAAACATACTAATCTCCGTACAAAGTGAATGGGGGTTGCACCTTTGCGCAGACGTGAGTGGAACAAATGGAACAACCTCCGACCAAGACAACTCCGTGTTGCACATGTAACTCGGAAACTAGTTGCTCTCAATATCATAGAATCATTGAAAAGGAAGCTTTAATTTTTATCCTTTAAAAAAAGTTGGAAAATTTGTGCACTTACTACAGTACTTTTGCTTTAAGAGCATTCATACTTACTTGGCTTGATCAGTTGTCGTCTTCAATTGTACCGAGGGAAGATATATCATTTTCCATCCACCGCCAGGTGCTCGTCTACCGTTCGCGCGGTGCAAGATATATGAATCAGTGCACGTGGAAGTCTTCGTACTTCAAGGGACACGACATAGCATGACGTCACAACACCCACGTGTTCCTAGGCGCCTGCGTGTCCGTACCCGCGCCCGAGTAGGCCCTACCAGTACCAATCCCACACCCTCCTTTCCGGCTTCTTACACCCCCCCCTTCCGTTTGCAACATCTTTCCCCAGTATAGAGCGAAAGAGAAATCCCGCATAAACTAAAAATCTAACCTCCATTGGTGGAGGCTGAAAGGGTTCCCAAAACCTGTTTAGTTTGGGATTCGAAGCACTTGACCACACGCTCTGGAACTGGAAAAAAAGACACACACAGGATTGTCTACCGTTAATGATCCACTTAATCTTCACATTTATTCAAGTATTTACAACCAAAACCGCGGTAAGAAACTAAACGAGGCTTATTAAGTCAGCTAATAATTGGTGAGATATGCTTCCTGGGTACAAGTATTAGAGATATATTACCGTAATAATTAATGAAAAAATATGTCAAGTTAAAACCATACGAGTCCTGAGTCCTCCGATTTTAATACGATTTTACATACATCCTCGGTGGTTAGAAAATGATGAACATGAACTACATTATTATGACTGAAAGAATTCGTTTTATTTACAATGTAAAAGAAAATGTGCCCTTCACTCGTGGATTGTTCCTTTAATTTCTTCTCAGATTTGAATAGCATGTGTCATTGGATATTTGATGTTTTGATGGCCGGGCCTCAGCGAGTGAGAATTAGTGATAACTTTTCTGAAACGATAATGTTGAATACCGGCGCTCTTCAGGGTTGTGCTCCGGTCCCATTGTTATACTCATTGATGACGCGTGACTGCATTTCAGTTGGTAATAATATACTAAGTTTGCCGATGAAGACTGTATTGGCCTGACCCGAAGCAATGATGAAAGTAACTAACCAGGTCGGGAGGCTCGTGAGGTGGAGCTCAGAAAACAACCTCGAGCTGAATGTGGCTAAGACTAAGGAGATCGTAGGCGATTTTCCTCGGAACAAAATCCCGATTTCCCCCTTGCTTCTTGACTCCTCAGAAATTGAGAGAGTTGATGTTTTTAAGTTCCTTGGCATTCACATCGCGAACGACCTGACCTGGTCGGCCGCGTTAAACCACTGCGTTAAAAAGGCCCAGCAGCGTCTTTCCTTCCTACCCCGGATGAGGAGATGTAAAAAAAAAAGGTGGTGAAACAGTGTTGGGCATTTGTTATTTGCCCAACCTTGGTTAAAAATTTCTACATTGTTGGTTAATTTCCATCACTGTTGGACAAGTATTGAACAACAATTGGGAAGAATTTGCCCAAGGTTGGGAAGTTGATATTTACACCAACACTGAGCAAATATCAACTCAAAATTGGCCAACTTTTTTTTACATGGTTTCGGCCAGCTAGTGCTGGCTGATTTTTACCCGTTCATGGTGGAGAGCGTGTTGATGCACTATACCCAGCAAGAAATGAGACAGAGGGGTACCCCCCCCAACATGTCCAATCCCTATACATATTCCAGACTACTGTTACTTAACACATCCCCCCAAGATGTCTGAAAAGAATTCCCCAGATTCCTGCGAGACAATGACCAACACAAAGCAGGGGGGGGTTCTCTCCGTCTCATACCTTGCTGCATATGTGACGCATCGTCCGTCACGGTCTGGTACTGCGACTCCACGGTGACCCAGCGAACACTCTTATACAGGGGATCGTGAAGACGACGTCCAGGATCGTCGGTCAGCCGCTGCCGTCAGTGGAAGAAATTTATGTGGCGAAGCTACGGACCTAGGCAATGCTCTGTTCCAACTCATGCCCTCTAGACGACGGCACAGAGCTGTAATGGCCAAAACTAAAAGAGCGGCAAGTGGCACCTACCCCGGTGCAGTGCGGCAGCTGAACAACTCAGTGTAGTTTTTATTCTTTTATGCTTTTTATTCTTCGCTATTGTAAATGCGTTCCTTATTCCCATTTGTATTGTTGTAGTATTAATGATTTATGTAGGCCCTATTATCGTACAGGTTTTTTTTAGCACAGCAAGGACCAATCAATTTTCCACCATGTATATTATTTCATATGAGTGGCGAATAAACTGTGAGTAATAATAAAATAATAATGTGATTTTATTGTCGTTATTTTTGAAGTTATTAACTATGCACCAAATGCTGATGCAATGCAATGCAAATAGATGAGGATGATCTATTTTCCACAAGCATTCTTCAGTCGTATGCACACTTCATGCAGTGGGTACCGTATGTACCTATAATCCGTGGGTTTTTTACCCTATACGTTAAAGGTTTACAATCATTTTATCTATCTCCAAAATAATCTTACAACTATTGCTAAAGAAATTAAGTCTTTTAATTAAGTCATTTTCTTTAAGTCGTATAGCATTAACAACTTGAATGCATCCATAAAACTGTAAATGGCTAAAAGATCTTTCTACACTGTTCAAATGCTAGTATTTTTCCCGAACGCGGGGGACCAGGTGAATCGCCTACAGGTACCTGTTCACTAAACTGGTTACCACACTGCCACGATTCACTGCCGGTGCATGGGTAAACTTTATCCTGTACGGCTGCAGAAATCTTTTGTATGTCCTCTCTTTAACCCAGCGTTATCATCTTTTTGCCCAACAGTTAAGCGATCCCCTTGGTGACCCCCGTTGGGCAAACACATTATTCAGCGTTTTCACAGTGTAATCGAAAGAAGTGGCATTATGCAAAATATGTACAACGTAACAAACAGCTACTTTCTCCGTGAAGAAAAATGCGGGATAGACAAGAGTCACGTCACTGCCACGGTCCCGCGCGTTTCTGCAATGACTGTGCGTGTTTGTTTTTTCTCATTTCTTCCCCCCGGGGGTGGTTCTTGCACAACGGCAGGACAGTGGTGAAATGGGAGCGCTTTCACATCATTCCGATATTTTCTTTGTCGTCAGAAGACAACAGAGGCAAAACAACGAAACGCTGTTTCGGAAGGATAGCCAGATATTGAAATTCGGTTAAATTTCGAAATGCATTCCCACCATGACTGTCTGCATTTCCTAGAAGTCTAATACTGTAATAATAACGGCAGATTACTGACAGCTCATCTCTTCGTGGCAGAAACGTCTGAAAATATTATCCTTACTTCCTTGATATACACCACTCAAAAAAAGTTGAGAACCACTTTTTTCCTAACTGGTAATTTTTCCAAGCAATGGGTGGGGTCTATTTTCTTTCATTTTTTGTTTGTCTAAATGGTGTTCTCATTGGAATAAAACAATTTCTGTAATGTTTCAAAACATCAATGCACATTTTCAGCAGTAAAATATCTCATATAAAGAATTATACACAAAATAAAAAGTGGTCCTTGAAAACTTTTTTGAGTTGTGTATCTACAAACTCATGTGCGAAGCACTGAAAAGGGACGGGTATAGATTTGGGTAGGCAAAAGAACACAGCCGCCTAAAAGAGGGTGAAATTACATTACGGAACACAATGTGTAAGCACGCACTTAAACAAAATTATACGTTTTATTGCGTCACTTGTTTTAAAAGCACACAAACTTTTCTGTATCTACAAGCTGGTGCAGTGTACGACGCGGTTTTATTACTGTAGCATGCGTGTTGGCTGCACATTGACCTTGACGAAGACAATCTTCCGGCACGTTGAGCTGAGATTTTCAGTATTTTTTTTTCCTGTGAAGAAAAATGCACAGAGAGCAAGTTATGCCAAGAGGCATTTCTCCAACTCCAGCTTGAAAATAATTTGATATATATCATACAACGTAGGCTTGTACAAATGCGTATTATGGCTGAGTTCATTGGTGTAGGTAGTGTAAATGAAAACAAAAGAAGAAGAAGACAGAAACTTCAGAAAACAAAGTAGGACCAATGAGTACTTATTTTGCGTGTTCAAGAAGGGGGGGGTAGTGACGACTTACGAGGCCTGGAGAGTGACGAGAATAATGAGCATGATGAGGAAGACGATGGAAGCGGGCGCTATAGCACCAAGGATGAGTAGACCAGTCGAGAAACAGCCTACGGGTGTATAGAATAAAGGAAGGTTAAGAACTTGTCCTACAGACACGAAACGCACAAACTGATTCGTGTCGCTAATTCCAGAAATTTACTTTGCTGAGTAATAACTGTTTCTAATAGACCTATTTTTTTTAATGATAAATAATGTTGTTTGGGACATGTTAGGCACAATTAAAATTATTTCGTCCACACAGAAGGTTTTGTATCATGTGAAGTTTAACAAAAGAGACAAAAATGAACATGCATTTGTTTTTACTAACATTATCTGACCAGAACATCCCCCCTGAAAGTAGCAGTTAGCGTTATGTTACCTAACAGTGTGCGTGAGTGAACACCAGCTCCATTCTTACCTATGGTGGCCCTGGAACGACGTCACCGATTGTCAATATTGACGTCAATGTTAACAACTTCTCTTTGCCTGGCTTGCTGGAAAAAAAAAAACTTCGCAGCAATATTTGTGACCGAAGAAACGAGTCGTGAATTTTGGTCGCAATTATTGACGGCAATATTGACGATTGGCGATGTCCCTCCCGGGCCACCATACTTACCGCCGGTTGGTGGCTCTGGAGGCGGTAGAGGCGGTAGAGGTAGCTGGGCACTTGGCCAGTTGGGGTCGGGTATGAAAGGGAAGGCGGGGTGGCCGGCCGGTATATATCCACCGGGGGGTCGGTTGGGGTCGAGTTCTTCGTCACCGAACGGACCACCCAGTGGTGGGTTGGGAAAACCCGGTAATCCTGGACCTGGCGGGCCGGGTACCCCGTCGGGAACGTTCCCCACGTTGGTGTCGAAACAGTCGTACTCTATGACTTGCTCTGTTGAAACAGACCAAACCAAGTTAAAACTAGTATCACTATTCTGTATGTGCCATCAATAAGGGCTCGCTAAGCAGGTATTGTGCTTACTGAATATGAAACACTTTTGTAAGCGCTTAATTTAAGCACATCTCCAATAAACTGCAAGAACCTAGATGTCGTAAATGTACTGCTTATTATTTAAGCTGTGCTTTGAAATTTGGGCATCACAGGTTGCGGTTGAAAGCCAGCAATCCATGCAATTTTTCTTACCTTTTTAAAACACTTTTGTAAGTGAAGAACTATAACAGATAAGAGATCATGACTGATGTCCTAATGACACGCAAGCCATTATGGGAGGTTTGAGATGACACCGAGGTAGTTCATCTATTGTTTGAGTTAAGAACACCAGCTCAGCGATTTGAACCTTTGGCTGTGTTGGTCATGTTCAAAACATTGAGTTGAAACAAACGGTTCTTCTCAGAGAACTACACAACCCAACACAAAATGAAGAAACAAACTATACGGCGTTACCACAAACCTTCTCTCCTTTGATAAAGTCCATTATGAAAACCTAACAAACTTATTTCAAGCCATTATGTTTGATTGAAATAAATTATACATTTATAGAAGCGAACCAAAATGGCAGAATGTCACATAACCCAGACCAAAACAAAAAGTTAGTTGGGGAGGGGCGGGAAAATGAGATTGACAAAATAGAGGGGGAAGGATTATGTTTGCCGTATGGTTATAATATTAAAAAATTAAGCTACCCTCCTGAGATAACATCTGTCAACAACTCGCTTGCCAACGTGGAAGGATCATCGTGGATGAGTTCTCGTTTGTTTAGGTCGTGTTTTCAGCTGGGTCGGGGGATTAGTGAGAGGGAAATACCAATTAACACTATCCGTTGTTTCACTGCAGTCGTGGGGTCACGGCAGAACGTGAATGTCGCGTGGTTTGGATGAGCAATAGTTTAGATAATTTTGCTGTGATGTTTGAGGGTCAAGCTGCACTAGATTTGGAAATTGGGAGGGGCTAGATATTGTTTGATAGGCCTACTTCTCGATGCAGACCTATTTTGTACAGTCCTATAATTATTTAGATAGAATTCCTGCGGTGGTTGATATTAGCTGTTGAATAATCTAATTAGACGTTTGGTTCTTCCTTCGTGCTCCCACCCCGGGTTGTTGGGTATTCTATGTCTCATCCCCTGATTAACCCGTGAGGGGAAAGGCGTATTACCCCCATCCTCCCGTGATTCACGTCCTAGATATTGGTGGTTACATTCTGCAGGTCAAACAGTCACGTTCTTTGTTGAAAAAATGCAAATCGTAATTAGATGATCTATGCCGCACATTTCCGGGCACGAGGCACTTGTTTTCTGTTAGAAAAGGGCATTTTGTGTGAGAACAGTGCGACTGCGATTACTTGGCGGGATAGGTCTTGCATTTTCATTTGCATTGCCAGGATCTGGATCAGAGTTGCAGTTGCAAACTGGAAACACGAGTAGCACTCCAGCCGCTCGATTTTTGGGAGTCATAATCTTGCCCCTCCAAAATCCTTCCCTCGGGAATCAAACAAAAGATGCACATTTTGAGGATGTGGTTGTGTGGACATTTATATTTTACTTTTTTAAAGAGTTTCTTAGCAAACATTATTTCGTAGGGGAATGCTTTTTTTCGTGAGCCCCAAAGAGGTGCCATCCAGGACAGTGTGCACCTTTATGCCTAATTGGAGTCGGGCCTCAAGGTTCTATCCCCTTGAGCAGAAGTACCCCCTCCTCGGTTGAAAAGAGACATATTGGTCTGGAGTGTTCATTTTGTTGGTAGCGATGCGACTGTAACGCATGCATTTCATAGTCGTTTGTGAACCAGCGAAGTGCAGTTCCTTCCGAAGGAGCCTGCATTGCTAAGAAAATTGAGCCCTCTCGGTCCAGCTTGGGGGCTTATCGCGGATAGCGAATGGGTGCTTTACTGGATTTATTGCCGTTTATTGCCGCCGAGAAAGGTCGCGTCTGACTTGCTTGGCTGCGTCTGGAAATAACAGGCATTGGTAGTTGCAACAATTTCACATGTGTACCCATCCCCCATGCCGGTTGCATGGCCAAGCAATTTTTACACGACTAATTTTGTACTTGTAAAATGGGTGAAAATTCACTCATAGTTTCTAATTTTACTCAAGAAGTGTTTTAGATATATAGAATGCAGGATTAAGAAAGGACATGGACTTCGAAATTTTCCGTCGAGGGGAACTGATGTCACTAGACCCCCTGCCGAGATACGCTTTCATTCATTATCAATCCCGATATCCCTACGTTCTTGAGAGCTAGATTCGATCTTAGCCTGGGACATTGCTTATGGTCTGACGATGGAAGAGGTCGTGTCTTAGTTTGATGGCAATTTGGAACATACATTTGTCAGTGGAAAGGTTTTTGATGAATAGAGTAAGATTTGACAGTGAACATCGAAATGCTATCCCCAGTACAGCTCGTGGCGATTTGTACATAGGGTTTTATTACTTTGACTATAGTTGTAAGAAAGAGAAAAAGATTTAAGCAAAGGTCGAGTGGGGGATTAAAAAGAAAATCTGATGGCAGCAGGTGTAACTCTTTTTGCCTGTCTTATACCAACCTGTTCCTTTATTTACACGGCTACACAGCTGTCGAATTAACCTGTACCCGATTGGATATCCGTACGAAGTGCCCAGTCCGAAACCATAGACTATTGCCCCAAATCTCGTGAACAGCGAAGGGTTGGATATGGTGTTAGCACCGCGATGAATCTCAAACGAGCGGTCGGCGCCGTAGGTCGCCAGCCTCCCAAAGGCAGGCACGTTCCTCCTGCTGTCCAGGACTGGTATGTTGTTCAGGCTGACAGCGAAGAGTGATTCGGCGGACACGGACACGCAAACAAAACTCCGGAGGGGCTGGCGCTGCAGTAGGAGTGACGACTCGTTAAACGTCCCGAAAGTCACAGTGCCCATGATGAACTGTTCTACGGGAGGAACAAGGGTCATAAAGGGGTCTCCCATCATGTCACTCTCGAAGCCTTTAGCGTATTGAACGACCAGGACAGGTCGGCTGGCTGTCACCGTCACTGGGAACGGTGACCTCTGGTCGTATTCCCTGTACTCTCCCATCTGCATCAACCAAGTATTGATCCCGGCAACATTGATCTCTGTCTGCTGGCGCGCCGCGATGATGCGGAAGATGAAGCCCGATGTCCTGTTGACGAAGGGCAGAAGGGTGAACCTTTTGCCCCACGTCGGCACCGGAGGTATCATCTCGATAAGGTGGTCGCATCGGTACACCCCAGCCGGGACGAGGGTGCAGGAGGCCCCGGAGGAAACAGACACAGGCTTGTTGGATCGGATGTGGGAACCTGTCAGGTCGGCAGCGCTCTGGAACTGGATGGACTGGAACCGCATGAGGTTGACGATGATGGTCTCTCCCTGCTGGTAAAGTCGCACACCCCATCTGATCTGATTTGTCGGGGTTACCCAGACTCTCGTAAAATCCTGCGTCCCGGATATTATGAACTGAGATTGCTCAATCGGCACGGGGTCGTAAGAGGCCACAATGTACTCCGTCCCCAAGCCGTCTGTGGGTATGGCCAGGAAACCGTCGTTGGTGTTGGAGATAGAGTTGACGGCGTGGACGGTGACCTGCTGCTGGGCCAGCACGTACACGGTGCCATTCTGGAAGCCGGTCCCAATGGCTGCTGCGATGGGCGGGATGTCCAAGAAGCGCGTCTGTCCCTCGGGAACCTCTATGAACCGTAAGATATTCAGGGCCGGCACTTGTACTTGTACCCGCGTGTCGCCCGGTGAGTTGCCACCGATGATGATCATCAGGCGCTCCGGTATCTGGAAGTTGCTCATGAAACAGAAGATGAAATCTACTCCTCTCGTATCGGGAACTACAAAAGAAAGAAAGGTCACTTGTCATCACTAGCTTAATAATATATTCACACTGTGTAATAACTTTTTTTCTTACAGATATGCGCGCCAAAGACAGCCTCGTGACATGAAATTATACTTGTTGTTATGCCTCGATAGGTCGGCTAACTTTTAAACCTACAAAGTAACTACCAGGAATGCCATTGTCTTTTCTTTAGAACATTACCAGGTTACACGCCAGTAAATAGACACGAAATAGCTTATATGCTTGTTTGTGACTATCAAAGCGGCACGGTTTGTGCCTTTTCACATGATTTCCTCTTGTACACCTGTCAGCCCTCCCCCTTGCCACGAGGCTGGCTTTGCTGTTGATCAGAGACCGATGGGGTAATACATGTATGTAATTTGCCTCTGTTGCCTCATCTTAATTCCTATCCAAGCAAGATTAGTCTCACTTTTGATTCAAAATGGCCGACTCCTCGATGAAGCTAACAGCTTGCATACGGTTCAAATATCATAAGGCATGAAATGCATTAGGCCCTTTACAAGGTGCACAGTGAGATAAATACGTTTTGGACCCTGTGGATCCCCATGGGCAGTTTATGGCAGCGCTGGTCAGAGCGTAGATAATTTTTTTTAATAGGAAATAAAGTAAACGGTGGAAATAGGGTAGCTGCTCCTGCGTGTAAGTACCACAGATAATCCCCAGGAGTACTATATCGGGATGAAAGTGAGTCACTTCCCCTTGCTCTGTCGCCAAGACGAAAATATCTGACTTGGCCAACTCCTTAACCCTGCAACAATTCCACATGGACCTATTTGATAAAATATGGGGTAAAAATGTTTGGTGGGGTGCCTCCCTTTTTTGGTAAAGACGAACTCTGATTCATTTCATTTATTGAATGTTGAAATTTCGCTTTTGGTGAAAATTGCGCAGTTTGTTTCAAACCTGAAAGTAGCATTATACGTGTACTCTACACGCTTGAAGATCGTCTGTCGGAAAATTCGACTTGAATACATAACGAGAGATTATCCCACTTTCGTCCCTGGAAAAACTAGATTCTTCAGAACAAAACAGATAAGGAATCGACGTTGTTAAAAGAATTACATATCATCTCCAGTTGCTGTGAAGAATAGTCCTGCAATGTCTCCCATGTGAGCATAACCATGCGAATCCACCGTTTTTACTTACCAGGTCGGAGTATGGGCGGGGTCTGGTTAGGAGGAAGTCGCCTGCCTTGGCTGTTCACGGTGACAACAATGGACAAAAGAACAGTCACACACAGTACCACAGTTCTCGGTATCATCTTGGCAGGACAAACGTTCTTATCGAAACAAATCCGAGAAAAAGGTCAAACAAAACTCAGCCGATGAAACGCTCAGAGCTTGGGGAACTTTCTGAATCCAGCAAAAGAAGTTGAAGAAAATTGGGAATGCTTAAAAGCTGGCTATGTCTTGATGTGTCACATCCTCGTTAAGTCTTATGTCCCGCTCGAAACAAATGACACGAAGTTCGCAAAACAAAGGCGTCCTGTCCTTTTAAAATCGAAAACAATTAGAACGTCTTAATTCAAAACACTCCACCTCAATACCGTGTTTCCATTTCAGGGAAGGTAAAGGCAGCACCAGACAAGCGTGCTCGGCTGTCTCTCAAGTCCACGTCAGATATGCTTACGTGTCCAACAATTTCATGTCTGCAGGAGATACGATTCCTGTTTAATGTGCAGGGGAACGACCAAGAGTTACTGCAGAGGTCCCTCGACTGACACGAGCACAGTGGAACGTTTCTTTTCGAGAGTCCTGGCACTCGGGTCGCTGTCTGGCACTGCTGCTCAGTGAGTCAGGCCGACGTGATGTTTACAACCCCGGACTTCCTCCCCAATATCAGCTGAATTTGCAGGCATCCAATCAGGGGTGCCTTCCCATGGGTTCTCTGCATATAGCAGGTACAGGAACACGTACCCCTTCCCAACCTGCGCTCGGAGTGCTACGCTTCGTCATAGGGCGACACGCATTCCTAAACGATATCAAACCTATATCATGGCAAGCTTCGCGCCGAAGGTTGTGATAAATGTATAGGCCCGCTTTAGATATAAAAAAAAAGTTCCCACTGAGACTTGCTGACCATGTTCTTCTGTGCGATGTCTCAGTTGAAACCCCGTAACTTAGTCTCCTCGATTTGTATTGGCAAAGCGCGCCATTCAGCGCCTTAGTATTTAATGCAATCAAGGAAAATACAGGGGCGTTGGCTCTCATCTTAAAAAGAGGGTTCCTGTTGCCTAATGTCCGATACTGCAGCCATAACGGGCGAATGAGGTCCGTTTTACGAGATCACCACTCATTCAAAACGGCCCTCAATGTTTACAAACGAATGGAACATCTAAACGGACGCATTTTCTTTTTTTTGCAAGGAGTTTTGTTTCCGATTGACTGACCCTACTTGACAACTCAGAAGACATCGGAATCATTGAAACAAGAGAATCATAGAAACAAAAAGAGACGAGCGCAATTTAAATAAAATTGTCCACGGTGCATGCATTTCATCTGTTCTCATTAAGTGAAACTTTCTTTGTAAAGTACATGTACAGTGATTCCAGCTATAATCGATTTCATTATAATCACGCAACATTGTAACTCTCTTTCACATGCGTATACGCCATTTCCCGCAACTTTCATTTGTCAGCAACGGAATATTTTAATATCAAGTCTACACGTCATCACCATCGGTTTCCATGGCGCCTTAATAAGATAGTCACATCATTTCCGGATTTTAATTTGCGACAAGGACGAAAAACAATACCAACGAGTAGTTCAGACAGGGAGCAGTTTGCCTCAATGTAGCTTGACTGCCAAATGATAATCATACAATAGAACTTCAAACGGCTCTCCTACTTTCCGGCAGGCCTCGTTGAAAGTTAATCTGAAACATTTTAGACAGGATGGCTGCGTAAACTTCGGTGGAATCTAAATTTTCAAAGTTTGAAAACACCACAGAAATTTAAATCATTCACGAGAAGTACTTTTATATTGGGAGTTTTGCCTTATCAAAACTACAAAAAAAACCACAATTGGTCGAAAAAAACTAAAACGAAAAGGAAAAATAAGACTGACCAAATCTATAATTACTCAAATAACCAAGACATAAAAATAAATTCAACATTGCTGTATAAATCACAAAACATATATGAAAAAGCAGAATTTAGATCGAATATACAAGGACAAATTCGAAGTTAAAATTCCAACCTAAAACAAACAAAATGCATTTTAATATTGATACCTATCTTTTAAACAAAACCTAAGTGCTCAACCAGAATTGAACCATGTCATGTGACACGACACATCATGTGATTTGATAATGCCATGTCATGTGACGCACACAGACTTACACAACCCACTGGGTCAAATTAATGGAACAATACTTCCTTCAAACTTTTTTGTAACTGAGCCCAGTACAGTGAATGTCCTCTTCAGGGAATTTAGTCAATAATAAATTAACTTGTTAAGCAAGGCTTAGGGTTCCTGTAATTACCAACGGAAGGCAAGTTTATCGCCCACTTCCCAAAAGACTTGGGCAGAGGTCTGTTTTTTTTTTCTATTTTGGTAACGTGTATATTGGTTGCAATGCAAATACATTCAAAGAAGTTAATTAGAAGTCCAAATGTGTCTGAAGCTGTTCCGATGAATTGTGACCAGTTTTAAAGGCACTCATCTGTTTCCTGTTTGTCTTTTGTAGCTAGATTCTTGTAATGAGATTGGCAAGTTGAACTGTGATGGACTCCACTACAACAATACTAAGATGTCTCAATTAAGTTGACAATCTCGTTGGCAGCCCCCAGAGATGGAAGACAGAAAAGAATGCCGAAACTTTGAAAGTACACTATTTTCTTTTCAGATCCAGTCGGTGATTTATTGGTTTCTGGGTTAGACACAATTTTGTTGAAGTATCTGTCAGTGCCAAAGAATCAACAAAAAAACCAGGTGCTGGGGCCATTTCGGAAATCTTGGCTTGATCTCCCACGTTCGGCTCCAGCTATTTATCAGATCCCCGACAGTGGAGATCCAGACATCAAACGGCCATGACATTGAGTCCAATATGAGTATCTTCTAAATTGGAATTAAAGTTGAAAGACCTAAAAATGGCTCTGGGTCTAGAGATAAATGCAGAGCTTCAGGAGAATGCCTCCGTCAGAGATGGAGCCAGGATTTGAATAAGTCCCTTCAAACCAGGACAGTTCAAATTGAAAATGCATGTCTGGACTTGACTTGCACCTTGGTTCTTGCCCAGACATGAGTCCAGACTGAAATATGATCTTCATATAACCCAGTGTATGGGAGTTGAATTTAAACATGCCCAGACTTACAAGGTTGAGGCAAAAAGTCTGTGAACACTGGACCAACAGGTCCTTAGAAACACAGGATTCAATTTATAAAGCATGTTCATGCTTAGAGAGTGTTAATGTGTCAAGTGACATCTTGGAGGCTTATCTTTCAAAGTCTGAATTCTTTACAATAGAACACAAATGGGACCCAAATGAGACCTAACTCTGCAAAAATCTGTAAATATGTTGCACACAACATCCCAAAACAGCTCAGTCTGTCTCCATTTGACAATGTACAGTTCGGTACTTCTTTATTTTCTGCCTTTTACCTTTCCACTTTCAATTGGTAACAGTTTACAGAATGTCTCTGCTTGCATTATGTATCATCCTTTCCTTCAATGCAGGGAAATCATCAATATAGTTAACAATGGCAAAGAACAGAACGCTGAACGAGTTGATCTCATTTGTCCAAATTTCAGAAAATTCCAAGTTTGAACACTGACCTTCTCCCAAACAAAATGTACATTACATTAAATTTCGGCATAAAATATGAATAAACTTTCAATCTGTACAGAGAATTAACTAAATTTGTGATTAAAAAAATAATCTTATATCACTTGCATCATCTTGTCATTGTTGGGCAGAAATACTTTTTGACAAGTATGCGCTAAACAAATAATCTTTATTTTAGTTTCTAAGTTCCCCAATTGCAAGAATGGTACTGACCATGAGTGAAAGTTTCTTAATTCAAACTTCATAAATCTCAACTACTTGGGAGAAATGGTAAAAAATTTCATCCAAAGAAAAGGTGCGTGCCAAAGTTACGCATATGAAGTGCTTAAATATTTGGATCGTGGTGAATTTGCCTCGGGAGGGGAATAGGTAGCTACAAGCAATTCTAACTACAAAAACTTGCTGTTCCGATTCTGGGGATGTTAACTCAAGCTATATTTAGCCCATCAGCAGATGGGAGCCATCACCATGCAGCATGTTTCCATGGCGCTGTGATCGGATCGAGTGTGACTGATGTCCAATCATCAAGAGGAAGTATCCCTCGTCGCTGACACCCCCCCCGGACAGGAAGGGAAGTGACTAAAAGTGGGGGATAGCAAAGGAGGGAATATATCTTCCACATTTCTCTCTAATCTGCATGTACACGAGTACCTTGTTACTTTTCCCCCTTTCTGTTCCAAGGGCTTGGTTGCTTTTGGCAATGTCATGACAGCGCAGGAGAAAGACCCAGTGACTTCCTGACGATTCCTTCAGCAATTTTGTTGAATTTTTCCCGTTCGTCTCGCCACATCTTTGAGGCGTCCACATTGGCACCACTTTCGTCATTTGGCTCTAAAATGGGCAACAAGTAAAATAAATGAAAATGCACAAAAATGTATCATCTCCGATGAGAAAATGCTTCAAAATGTAATTACTAAAAAAGGAGAGAATATCAAGTGTATGTGGAAGAATGAAGTTTTCAGCTTCTAATCGATAGACAAATCAACAGTATTTTCAAATGACTGTCATTAACAACATGAAAGTGTACGCATTTCTTCACAACATAATATTCATTTCCGGCCAGAGACAGGAAAGTAAGAGTTCAAACTGTTGCTGAAAACAAAAAAGTATACTTTAGTTTGATGCATAAACAGAATATAAACTGAAGACATCTCTAAACAAAGAAAGCCCACATTCTGAACTTTCCACTGAAAGATGAGGGACCTCTCTAGAAGCTCAAAATTTCTTGTAGTGCAGCTCCATGGCTACAAAACAAATATTACCGTAGTTTTCAGAATATAAGCCCCGGCTTATACGGTGATTCTCACGCCGGAAAATGACTCTACGGCTTATATTCCGGGTGGGTTATACGGCAAACTTTAAAGGATAAAATCAGTCACAAAAGCCACGGCCAGGCCACATGTACCACATGCAGGTGCGTATTCACAATTTCGTTGGTTACCGTTGATATCTGATAATTCCAAACTTGGCGAATAAATAAAATTTGAGTTGTCCGGATTTCGAATTATTAAAGGAATTGCACAAGTCATGGAGTCACAAAACACATACGTGTACACGAAATGTGTACGTAATCTTAAACGTTATTTGCTCAGCTATGGGAACACTTTTTAATTATTATTTTCCCATTTTTTAGTCATTCTCATGGTGTATTCTTTTGCAGACAAATAATTATTTTACTAAGATATTTTGTTGTTGTTACCTAAAAATTTCTTTCTACCATTAAAAGAAACTCAACCACTTCAAAGGTGTACCTTTGTGTGGCAGATTTTTCGTCTTTTCGCCGATCATGCTCAGCGTGACATGCCACAGAATTTCATGTTTTTTGCCCTTGGTTTTTCTCATGACAACACTTTCTGTGGTTACATGGTGGAAGAGTTAGTGATTGGACTGTCCATGAATGGGTCTGTGGTAGCAGTCAGGCTAGCCTGAAAACAGAGTCTGTCGCAATCGCTGTGGTAAGCGGAGTGTGTGTGCTGTGTGCAGCATGCATGCAACACAAGCAGTTCCAATGTCATGAGATGACTCGATCAAAGGTCTCGCGGCAGATTTTTCATTTTGAAGCAATTTGGATGGGGTTTTTGGATCAGCGTCACAAAAACTTCATGATAAATGGATGTAATTATTCTTGCCTATTCTTTTGGCAAGAAATAGTTGGCCTAGGAGATAAAACAATCTTTGGACTTAACTGATTTTGAGTTACCAAGATTTCAATGTACGTCCCTAACGGCATTACTTTAGCTGGCCGCTGGAAAAAGGGCAAGAGCTGATGCACGGCCCACGCAGGAAAATCATCCAGCCCACAAAAAGTTTTAAATATAAGGATTTAACATTCGTATAGTGGAGCCATTGAAGCATTGTACTGGTGCTTTAGCATGCAGCACCTTTGTGGTTAAATTGTCAGCGCTGCCGTGCGGCTTATACACCGGACAACTTATATTCCGAAAATAACGGTACCTACATTTACAGTAAAAAATGGATGCTTATAAGGAACCAAACTCCCCTGGTATTTCAAGGAACTGTCTGCAGTCTTACAATTCCAACAATATCTTTGCTCCTGTCGAGGGGCATCACGCCCCATAGCTGTGAAGGCACAAGAGCTGGCTGGTACCTTCTTCAGTCCTTCAAAATCCTCTTAAACATTCCGGTGGATTTTGATGGATTTAGGAGGGCTAAGGTTAAAAAGCGAGTAACTGTACCTGCAAGCATGCTGACCACAGAAGCAGAATCTTCTCCACACTCTGTACGGGGCTCCACCTCTCCGCGCTGCTCTCGTACCCCATGGGATCATCTCCCGGTGCATGGAGGATAGAGATACATACTCTTCCATCAGCGTAAACTATGAAGTAAAAGTGTAGAAGGAAACTGGGGAATTAGTGTGCTCTGACTTGACTGTTTACAGGGCTTCAAACCTATCCCATGACGAAGATCCCTTTTACAGGCATTATTAGTCTACGCACTGCTGGGTGCAACCTTGGAGTATTTAAACTGACGAAAATTTCCTTTTTCACGGGGTAACAAGCAACGCATCAGGCAAAGTTTCAGTGTTACAATAGTTACAACAGTGGTCAAAGCCCTTTCACTCCTTTCTTTCCTTTGTTGATTCGTTGCACCGCTGCAAATCAATGAACAGATTATGAATGGACAGTTACAATGAGCCTCATTTTAAATTTGGAACTGGCATAGAAAAACTCCCTTCGTTCCCACACCTTCCTATGGTGTCAGGAAAGAGTGTGGATACCAAACATTGTGAAAGATGAGTGCTCCTTAAAAGTTCCAATGAAAAAAAAACTTGGGATGGTGTTAATACAAAAGTATGACGATTCAGAGTAAAAGTCACTTCCAGATCCCTTTAATATTCAGAGGATGTTTCAATTTATATGTCGTTCAGTGAGTAACCACTAGGTGTTTTATTTTTGCTGGTAAGTGTCTTGAAACCACCCACAGCAAATATTGTGCAACAACACAATGGTACTTTGCCCTGTGCAACGTGAACAAGCATCTTGATTCTGTCAAAAGCTCAAAATCCCCCTATGCATGCCCACAGGATCAAAACAGTGTGTGTGTGTAGGTAATATAGGTAATCTTAATATGGTCCCATCATACATCCACTGAGGACCCAATCATCATAAAAACATTTTAATTCATACTCAAGTTCCTAACTAATCAGAAAAAATGGTAATCCTTCTCATTTATACATATTTGGTTAACACTAAGGACCTCAAATATCTGTGAAAATACAACAACAAAATCACGAGGAACGGCATATAAATTTAGATTCTAGGGCTGAATAACTTCCAAATTTGAAGAGGTAATTAATTTTTCTATTGTAGAATCTCAAGCCACGTTTGCATTGTATCCAAAATGTTGAAAAGGAACCACCAGTGCTAGTTAACATTCTGCCAAGGTGATTCTCCAATGCATAGATTAGTTGCAGCCCATGGAAAGTCCCTTGGCCACTTAAAACCTGCTGTGGCATGTCTTCTCAGTAACTCACGAGGGCGCCCTCCAATTGATCTTATGTGACCCACCATCCCCAAACCAGGCTGAAGTCAGTATTTGTGATGTTGGACAATTCCTCTCCTTCAGCCTTTTTTTTAAAATTCATGTTAAATCAAAATTGTGCCTGCAGAAAGCTTCTTACACGAAGTGATAGTTGTAAAACTGCCATGAACATCTGAACAGTGGAAGTTCCACTATTTTAAGGTTTTCTGTTCATGCCAAGATGCGAGTTCTGAATGTAGATTGCATCATTCTGAGAAAGCAGAGCCAAACGATGGAAACCCTCGCCCTGTGTTCGTATTGGATAAACCCTTGTACACGCCAAACAATGACTACATGTATTATTTGCCATGCACAGTGTTTATCCACAATGAACACAGGGCGAGGGTTTCCCTCGTTAGGTTCTGTTTTCTCAGAATGACACAATCTACATTCAGATTTCGCATCTTGGCATGAACAGAAAAAAGCTCTTTTAAGCTTGTTATAGTTGAGCACTGAAGACAAATGACACTGCGTTCGATTTGGAGGCTTCTATACTTATTTGAACAGACAAAATCAGAGAAAACTTGTTTTCCTTAGAGGTGATCTTTAAGTCACCACTGACAGGCCTTGTGTTGGGTGAATTATATTAACAAATGGCTTGAGCCTCTTTTTTCCATATTTTGTCCCTTTTTCAAGATGGTAATTCAAGTGGAATGTTGCAAATGCCACCCTCTTTCTGGCCACTGAAGGCAAGAGCTGTGACCCAGTACTGTTGACCAATCAGCCTCAGCTGGCAAGAACTATCAGGTATCACGGTGGTAGTCGGCATGTGAAAGTTAAACAGGGCACCCGAGTTGGAAAATTGACAAGCTTTTACATGAATATAGCGTACACCAAGAGTGTCCAAAAGGCCTGCTGGTTGGCCCAAAGATGGCCACACAGGCCTAGAAATCTGGTTAGGCAAAATGAAGTCAACTGATCAAAGTGGGTCATTCTCAAATTGTGGTACTCACTGTTTGGGTGGAACATCTCCGTCTTGAATTTCATCTTGGGAGGATTCAGCGGGTAGTCCGGTGGGAACAGAATCTGAGCCTCAAAGACACCCCCCTCAAAGCATGTCCCTTCTGGGCCACTGAGTGATTGAATAAAATGAGCCAATTTTGAGCTCGAAGTTCAGAGGGGCACATTGAAAGAGGCAGTGTTCCCTAAGTTCTCTGTGTTAAACTCGGCAAGGACTGATAAAAATATAGAAATGCCTCAGCCTAGGGTTCGAGGCCAACCTCTCCCCTGTCTGGATTTTAGAGTTCAGATCTGGTACATTTCTGGGCATCTTGGCAGCAGATATTTTCAGGGGACTGTGTTAAAAGTTTGAAATAATTTTAGACCTCTGTGGGCAGTTTTTCATCAAGACAGTGTTGTGCATGGAGAAACAATTCCGGAATGTAAATGTACATGTAGCGACCAAAATTTTAAACTTGGTAACCAGATTTGAAAGCTTGGTGGCTGGTTTTTAAAGGGAAGGGGAGCTATAAATTCACACATGACAAGACCCATTTTTCAAATAACCGTGAACAAAATTTCCCGTGGCATTTTTTTAATATGTTTGATTAATTACTGAAAATGGACTTCGTTTGTTCTTTGAATATGAATATTCAAAAAGGTCTGTAGTTAAATGGTCAAGTTTGATGAGTTTGCCAGACACTCTAGAGCAGCTGGTCTGTGGGGCCAAGCAGTGTTGACATGTAGTCAAGCTAATCACAAGTCCTTCCACAAGTACCTTCAAGAGTCCAGTCTATTGTCTTTCCGCAAGACCAATTATAAATAACAGAGTTAACAATGACAAAAGAATCCTTTTGTCTCAGTTCATTTGAATATCTTGTGACTTTGCCAAAGACTGGGTAACTTGTGATAGACATGCAGGGACTTGTGATGGACAACAGTGGGTCACAAAACAGTAATATGAAGAACCCATCAAAGAAAAAGGTCATACTTTGACCTGTACATTCATACAACAATGATATCAAATTCCACATGCATATAAGATACGAGATGTTAATCGTCTGTGTCACAAAATCACGGAAACTTACCTTCCATTGCACATCCAAAAATGGTTCTCCATGGTAAACCAGTGATTGGTACGGGTATATTTCATCCATTACATGCACGTAGTACGCATTTGTTGGATTTTAATCCCAAATTGCCATTCCCAGCTCTCTCATAGCGAGTCTTTGCAAGTTCATGCGATGCGATGGCATCACATTGTACTTAGGAAGAATTCAACATCCACCCTAAAATGCCATGTCTATCACTATGGTCAAGATGATGACAGCGTTATTATTTTGAGGTGGGTTATTTCAAAGTAATTAACTTACCTGATGGTGGCTTCCCATTCAAAGAAGTTATCCTCGTTCACCGGGCCGGCAACAATACCCTCTGGGGGGTTGAGGGTCAGCTCTACAAGAGGTAAAAAATGAGACGCAGTCAACTACAAGGCACTCAGCATGAGTAGCTGGGTATATGAAGCATACAACATAGTATTTTGACACATGAGATCAGCCTGGACCGGTTTTCTGGGATTTACAAAAATCATTAGAAAGTGAAATTCTAGATGCAAGTCAAGGTATTTCAAGCATGACCCAGTGTTAAATTAAAAAAAAAAATCTTGAGAAAGGGCAAATACGAAATCAGGAGAATGTTGAAAAAGAGACTTGCCAGTGTAAATATCTCACAAGTCCCCAAAACACCCAATATGCGTATGTTACGCATCAGTCCCAACTATAGTTGGGCCCGTCTAAACTAGTGTGTTACAGTTGGGCCGGCCCAACTACAGCAGAGAGGTCCTGTGTGCCTGAAGTGCCCAACATGTGCCAAAGTCATATTGTTTACAAATGTCATGTCATTGGTCATAGGGCTAGATGAACAGATGGAGTGCCACATTTTAGATGAATTGTGTCAAGTGTGAGACACATTGACTTGGATGATGTTGAGACATTTTCCACAGACACTGCTTAACAATAGTTAGGCCAGCCCAACTGCAGCACTACAGTTGGGACTGCCCCAACTGTAGTTGGGACTTATGCTATAGTTAGGGTGTAACATGTATATTCAGTGCTGTTACAGGGCCTACTCAGCGCAGATGTAGTGCAAGTGGGAAATATTCATACTATCATAGCCCATAGTGCCTAGGCCTAAATAGTGAAATTTCAGGCACATTTGATGTAAAGGTTAAGACTTTTCAATAGAGGGCCCTCACAGAGGACATATTTTGTTATTTAGATTTAGATGACAATGAAATCACAAAGGAACAAAGACCCGTCGGTACTACAATTATTACTCAATTATTTTTAATTTAATCATGTTACAGCAAAAAAGGAGGAAAACCTACAAATCCCTGTCTAAGTGAATAGAGAGTTGCCCCTTTGCCTAATGTTAAGTTTGTTACTTAATATTAGGCAAAGGGTAAACTCTCCATTCCCTATCCGCGGGGCGGACGTCGGACCCCAAACTTTGGAGTTTGGGCAAAAGTTCTGGGCCAGAGGAGGTACTTTGCCCGGACGTGAGCGCAATATTTTATAGAATATTCAAATTTCAGAAAACCAAGGACCGCGAGAATGGTTAAACAGAAAAAAAAACACACAGCTGTTCACGAAGCACTGCAGCCCTCCTACCCTCCCTTTGTATATATCATATTTGCACATACGCTTATACTCAGTCATTAAACGTTTCAATGCAGCTCCAGCCATGCTCCACTTGAGAAAAAACGAAGAGAAATCAACAAGCACTACAGAAAAAAGGACACCACCTCACAGGCGTGCCTTAAAAAAGATTGTATAGCGCCGCGCTATACAATGCATAATGCTAGTACTACTCGCTTTATGTTATAAGTAAACACATACGGCAAAGGGAGGTGAGACGGGCGTCATCCTATTAGTCCCTTTGAAAACGGCGCTCTTGCAACCGTTACAAGTCCTTTGTGTGAATGCATTGAGGTTTTAGTCAGGTTTACCAGTGGCGCCAGCAACAAATATTCAGATTACTCATAAAAGAAAGGGAGCACGACTTCTTCTTGTAAATAGTGTTTTTTTTGTAAAGGTATTTCTCATTGGTTACAAATACTAATTTTTTATTTTAATAAATATGACCTATTAGGACCAAAGCCCCACCTAGATTTAAAAGAAGATCAGAGTAACCTAAATTGTAATTTATGAAGTAAGTAAAAACATTTGAAATAGCTGTTTTGGAAAAATTACAAAAATAATGCGAAAAAAAAAAACCACGTGAGTTCACAATATTGTCCAACTGGAGGATCTGGAACATACTGCGCAAGCAGGCACGGTTCACGAGATTGTTCGTGAAGTTCTGAAATTCGACGGCAGTAAAGTATTGACGTTTTGGCTAAAAAAATCTATGTATAAAGTGAAATATACCACCATATTCTGGTCACCCTAAGTAATTCATCCACGCATAAATTCTCCGTGAAATAAGAAGAATTTGTTGGCAGGATTTTGCTGAACCTGCACCACCGAGCGCTATCGCACGACCTGACGCGTGCACGATGACGATCGAACAATGAAATTTTGACAAGTGCACCTGGCCTTCAAGTTCAAGAGAAATCACAAACTTAGCAAATTTTAGGATGGCCTCTGAAGCTGGAGCTGCGGGTTCCGACGAATTAAAGTGGGTGGTAAGTTTAAAATCGATTCAGCTTTGTGGAATTTTTTGTTTGATATCGCAGCGAGAAAATACGTGGTTTGGGATATAAAGGCACGTGATCCGATTTCAGTAATTTGATTGGCTAATTTTGGCGCATGTGCCGGTACTGAGCAAGTACCGGGAGATTTCAGAAATTCGGACGTTGGGGTGACAGCTCAAGACTAGGCTTACGTTATCAATGGTTATGTGAATGAGTTTTTAAACTTTTGAAAATTGTTTTTACCAAGACAGTTCAGCCAGCTTTCTGAAAATGGCAGAACCTTTGAAGGTATGTTGCAACTTACAAGCAGCAAAAACATTACCATCCCTACCCGTGCCAACTGCAGCCTTGGAGTTGGACAATGTTGGAGCCTAAACAGGGCCGGGAGGACCCTGTTCCTATTATTATAAAGTATATCAGACCATGATCAGACATGTCACAAAGGAGAGCTACATTTTAACCTTTGAATTTGTTGCACCCCAACGATGACATCAGTCCCAACTAAACTTGGGACCGTCCCAACTGGAGGGCTCAGACCTATATACATTACGCCAGTGTACATCATGCAAAAATAAGTGCTTCTTCTATAGACCTTTTTCCGAATGTTGGTCAAGTCGTCTCCAAGTCAACTGGTCCCCTAGTCAAGTCGTCCCCCATATAAATAATTACATTATAATTGTAATTTTACTGCAGTAATTTGTTTTTGTGGTATCATTATCTTCTTTTTGACTTATTAAGTTTTTACTGGGGTAATTTGTTTTGGGGGGATAATTTATGAAATTTTTTTAACGAATGAAAATGGTGAATGAATGAGTATATGTACGAGTCTCTGTCATGTTTCTCTTTCTCTTCTACGTGTTGATGTACCTAAAAAGAAAAGGAAAATTCATACGTTCATAAGAAATTCATGGGGGACGACTTGACCTGGGCACAATTTGACTCGGGGACGATTTGACTTAGGGACGACTTGACCCAGGGACGACTTGACCGGGGTTTCAATTTTGGGGGGACGACTTGACTTGGTGACGACTTGAACCAGGGACAACTTAACCCGTTTCCCCTTTTTCCAGCGATGTCACGATCGTGCTGGACATAGGCCTATGATGATAATGTGTTGTGATGGTAATGAGGGCATAGTGTTGTGATGGTAATCTACCCATTCAAGATAAACAAGTCAAGCATGCAGCATACGCACGTGCACTTGCACGTGGTTGAAGCTGCCCGTAGGAATATATGCGATCACAGTGGCCAAGGCGGTCCACACGTGGTGGTATTTACATTTAGTCACGTGGGGGATAAAGGTCTATTGGTACAATCACATTCTAGCTGGAGCACGTGCGGCAGATTTTACGTGCAGAGTCGCCTCACTTTATCTTTCTAATACACAATTTACATTGATTCACATTGAGGTCTATGTATGAGGCGTGCGTGCTCACGTGCGGTGTATTTTCTGATTGTCATCCATTTATGAATCTGCGGATTTGTGCTTTTGGCTGAAACAATGAAAATCAGAGAGAAATAAGGGTGACATATCACATTCTGATGAATCTGTTTCATGAAACACTGCAAGGCAGAAAACATTTATTACCAGTACTGGGCCTGTTAATCCCGACACTTAATCAGTCCCCAATCTTTCATTTTTTTCCATCGTCCATCTTTTGATGGTGCAGTGTTGGGGTTAATATTGGCATTTAGCCTCCATGCCCCTTTGACAGATTTTATCTGGCCTTGGTGCCATCCTAACTGGCCGTGATGCCCTCTACAATTTCACTTAATTCAAGACCAAAGTGGCTTTGCCCTAAAAATTACCAAATTCCAGGCCTGACTGGCTGAATGATATTTTTTAAAAAGCTGGCGTTGAACCGATACCATTTATGTATTCATCTATCATAAAGTGAGCGCATGGTTGAGCAGTTAAAGCACATGGCAAGGCAAGGTCACAAGTTTAAATCACAGTATCGTCCATTTCAACGATTTTTCCTTCCCCAGAAAGTTGCTGTATAATCCCCCTTTCACCAGTCGTGCTGGTCATGTAAACGGCTTTAAAAAGAGCTCACCAAGTTTCCTACTTCTTTTCCTAGACCTTGTTTGACAACATGAATGCCAAAGAGGAAGCCAAGAAGAAGAAGGGGCCTGGCTCCAAGAAGGCCAGCAACAAAGCTGCCCTTCCAACAGAGGACATGGCCACCCCTGATAGGAAGGTGGACAAGTCAGATAAGCGTCTGTCAGTGGAGCGCATCTATCAGAAGAAGACGCAGCTAGAGCACATCTTGCTCAGGCCTGACACTTACATCGGATCTGTGGAGCCAGTGAAACAGGTATCTAGCATTTTGTCCATTGCATGCAGGGAACAAGAGAGGGCGTTCTGTAACACAGCAGTAGTGGTCCTTTGGTAGGTACACCGCGCATGCGTATAGGTTCTTGTGTATGTGGTGTTGGACGCCTTGAGCGTGCGCGACCAGCTTTTGTCTGAATATGAAATCTGCATGTGTGTGCCCAGCTTGAATGAGCCCGGTTGGAAACCTTTTACCAGCCTGTCTTTTCTGTGCCAGTGAGGAAGGACTTCAAGTTGAAGCTGATCTGAACTAGAAGTTGAAGGATTTTAAGTGGATTTGTAGATTTTAAGGTTCCCAGCAAAAATGCCTTTTGTTAGGGTTGAGGTCCCAATTTTGTGTCTTTGAGTAAGATAAAGGTAACACATACATACACCTGCCAACCATTCTGATTTAATCAAAACTGTTCTGATTTTCAAGTTTTCAGATCTAAAATCAAAATCAGAACGTTCTAATTTCTATAAATTGCTAATAGCAGAGAAAAAGAGGGCATTATTTGCCGTGTCATAATAGCTATTTTTGCACGTGTGTATATGTAAGTAGCTTCTTTCACATGACTGGTTGTTTTGCTGTGGGTTCATAAAATGGGTATACCGATTTATATCCTACTACATTTAGTCTACATGACCAGACACCGACTGAGTTTGGTAGCTTTACATTTGTCAAATTTTTATTTCATTTAACAGGCCATGTGGGTTATCAACGAAGATGGAGCTCTTGAAAATAGAGAGATTACCTACGTACCTGGATTGTTCAAAATTTTTGACGAAATCCTTGGTAAGTTATCAAATTTCTTTGATTTTTCACTCAAACGTTGATGATTGTTTTTCTTGAAATTAGCGATATCATTTCCAAGGTTTGTGAATTGGCAGAATGCAGGGAGACGAACAAACACACGTCCTGTCTTTGCAGTTTGTGTGATGTTTGGGAGGGGGACACGCTGTACACGTAACAAATTTAGTGGATAGTGGAACTGTCAAAAATCGTGCCACATATGCAAACTTTTGGAGATTTTGTGCCTTTTCACATGCAGTGGACTGTATATTGTTCATGGCATCAAACTTCCTACTCTTAAACGCGTCAGAGCCCACATATTCCTTCAACCTGTTTCTGTTTCTAATCGACCATTTTTGGGGCCGTTTATTTTGACAGTAAATGCTGCTGACAACAAGCAGAGGGACCCATCGATGAACGCCATCAAGATATCTATAGATCCGTAGGTTCCATTTTTGTTGTATGAAGTCTTAAGACTGAAGAGAAGTGGAATGTATGTATCATTTCATGCATGTATGATTTCAAGAGAGTGTAGAATGTTAATGACGGCATTAAAAGCTTCAAGTGCATTCGTTGTAACGGTGGGTCGCAGATTCTTCTATTATACGCTCCGAGCAGGAACAAAAGAGGGCGTATTTTGAAATGAAATGGACAGTCATTACATACTCACTGCATAGGCGTGCAAGTTTATGCGCGTTTGACGCAGAACACGCCCAGTATGTGCAATGAATTTAGTCTGGAATGCATGGTCTTTGCATGCACACCAAATGCGTCCATGAACATAGTTGGAAAACTTAGCACCATCTCTCTTTTGCCTGTGAGGTTGCACATCGGCTCAGGACATCGGCTCTATTGGCATGAGATTTGTTTTAGCAAACAAACATTTGAGGGGACTATTACGTCCCTGGAATTTAGCCCTTGTGCCCTTGAATCATCAATTCACTCATGGTGAATCTGAACCTGTGTCTAGTGAGAACAACATGATCAGCATCTGGAACAATGGCAAAGGCATCCCCATCATAGAGCACAAGACAGAGAAGCTCTTCGTTCCCTCCATGATCTTTGGCCACCTGCTCACCTCCAGTAACTATGACGACTCACAGAAAAAGGTTACAGGTGAGCACCAGTCTGAATCGGTCTGTTTTCCCCTTCCTCTATCTTCCCTCCCCCCCCTCCTGCCCCGGCCCGGGTTTCATAATCTGGCTCAGATTCTGAGGAGCTGTGAAGCACCTCCGTTTAATCGTTGACATGTTCCACCCAGCAAAAAGAGGTTACTTGTCCAAAAGCCACATGTCTTTAGTCGTGATCAGTTTCTGCTTATTCTTTCAATGTATAAATTTGCCAGTGTTTCCTGTTCAGCAGAACCTTTTGTTGGTTGCGGTTACATTTTGTGTTGTGATTGGCCTATGTGAGCAACCTCCAGCATTGATTTTTCTTTCTCAATTTCACTTGGTAATTCTGAGAAATGGGTCACCTCTGAACTTTAAACACTTGGATCTCAAAAAGAATACATGTAGCACCTAGAAAGCTGAATGATGTATCATTTCTAAAGCTCCTAAATTGGTGGTCATTTCAGAAATTAAAATCAAAATCGTGGATGAAACACACACAGAAAATGCACAGCAAAATGACCTTTGACTCAACCTATGAAAGTGAGTGTGCTTCAGATTTTGTAATTTTTCCAAATGTTAGTTGATGATGGAGGCAATATTCTTAGCAAACTTTGTGACCGACACTATAAAGTTTTCAAGTTATGATTTTTTTTCAAGACTGCTGTTTGCTTCTACTTGGAAAAAACATGCATGGAATGACGTTGAGCACCTGTTGAGGTGAATCCAGCAATGTTTCAGTGGACATTCCTGGTGGCCCCCTTTTATGGCTGGAAATAATGTGTTGTGTCTTGAGCAGGACAACTCTTACAGAGCAGCGGCTGCAGCTCCAGGCAGTAGTTATCACATTGTGTACCACCACAGGCGTAGGCCACTGGGAATGACCAGTGATTCTGTTCAATTGTCCGCTAGGTTTTCTTTGGCTCCAGAGCATAATGGATGAAATATCCTTGCTACATATTGGAGATGAGGCATTTTCCTTTATCATCCTTGTATAAAATGTGAACTTCTTAATGAAAGTAGGAGGGTTCCTTCAACCCGCGAGCACTCTTGCTCCATGTGAGAGAGGCATAAATACTGGAGTGGTTGGCTTTCTTTGGATTTGATGTCTATTTTGTTCATTTCGTAGGTGGCCGTAATGGATATGGTGCAAAGCTGTGCAACATATTTAGCACCAAGTTCACTGTTACCACAGCCTGTAGGCAGTACAAGAAGAAGTTCAAGCAGGTAGGTGCCCCGTCAATTACTTATTAAAATTACCTGAATGTGTACGTGATAACTGAATAAAAGCAAGAAGAAATTTGAGACAAACAAGATGAAACATGCTCAGACATGTTCATTAGAAGAAATTCAGATGATAACTGAAACTGCTCCAGTTCATTGAGAACTTCTACACTAGATCAAACTATTGTGGCCTTCATTCCAAGAGAGTTGAATGGTGGTAAATTTCTGCAATACGATATTGCACCATTTGAATGTTTTTCTTTATTTTTCATCTCACATATGGTCCGTCTCTCTCGACAAATGCTGTTCCCCCCCTCTCTTCCCTTCCCAAACTGCAGACATGGACCAAGAACATGACCAAGACCACGGATGCCAAGATCGTGGACTTTGACGGCACAGACTACACTGAGATCTGCTTCTACCCCGACCTGGAGAAGTTCAAAATGGAGATGCTGGACAGGGACATTGTGGCCCTGCTCACCCGCCGTGCCTACGACATCGCCGGCTGTACCAAGGGGGTCAGGGTGACGCTTAACGGCAGTAGGCTGCCGGTGGGTTTGAGGATTTTTCAGATTTCAACGTTGCCTCGTTCTCTTGCTTCGTGCAGTTTTCCACCCGTTCTCCCACTCAATTTGATGTTTTTACCTCAATAAAAAAGTCATATTTGACTAGAGGAACAGAGTTCTGATTCTCACTGGTCTGATCTATTCTGGTCCCTAACTTCTGTCTTGTTTGATGGGGGACATTTGGCAAAATTTAGTACTTAACACCAGGTAGCTGCCAGCTACAAAGCAGAAGGAGGCAAACCTCTTACCTTGCCCCATATCAACTAATGAACTTGGTGCTATTTGAGAAAAAAAATACACGAGTTACTTCCAGTGGGAATTGAACCATATTCTCCTGATTACTATTGCAGAATGGCATCCGAGGTTGTGATGTTTCACACAAAGCGCATTGAACGGGAGACAGATTGGACAATCGTGTTTGAAAATAGACCTTGAGATCCAAATATTTAGATTGGTTGATATGGTGAGGTTATTTATGGGAAGTATGTCGATTGTAGGTGTGTAATTGTAGAGTGTTTTCTTACCCGATAAAAAGTAGCTGCACCAACCCATACAGCAAGGAACAATGACAGCGTTTGCTTTGACGCTTACTCGGCAGGTGACTGACTTCAGATCCTATGTGGACTTGTACCTGAAAGACAAAACGGACGAGATGGGCAACCCTCTGAAGGTGGCCTACGAATCGGTCAACCCACGGTGGGAAGTTTGCCTGACAACGAGCGAGAAAGGTTTCCAGCAGGTCAGCTTTGTCAATAGCATTGCAACCATGAAGGTGGGTGTGTTCAGGATACTCTCCTGTTCAGAACTTTTTAACATGCAAGTTTTCCTTTCAATGTTAGAAAGATTTTTGTGGGAGAACATTAGTTATGGTACGCACTTTTCTGAGAAATGTCAGATGCCAATGTAACATCTTGTGCACTAATTTGCAAAGTTTTATACAGTACAAAAATCCAGCTCGTTTGTGACCTTTAAAAATGGATGTACATGTGGTTAGTTTGTTGCTCTGTGATTGTGATGTTAACCCTTGCATTATTAACCCCTGTGCACTGGGAAGCGTGAAGAGCTGCCTTAAAAATTGAGATCCCTCAGCCCGCTTTTCAGCTATTATTCTCGGCCCACGCTCGACCAAACACGGTGAGAGAAGGCATACCCTGGCTCTTGTATATATGGTGATTGGCCTTTGTGTGTTGCCAAGAAATGAAAAGGCCGAATTTGCATCATAATCACCAGCTTCACAATAGTCCCCACTTTGAAAAGAGGCAACGGGAATGTGGAAGCGTGAATAGAGCCGCATGCCACCGAACAATCAGCCTTTTCACTGCGTAAATCAAAGCCTGCAAAGGACGCAGGGCCACAAACTGAGAATTTGCGTTTTGGCAGGTGGCCTTCGTGGCCAAACGAGGCTGAAATTCTCGGAGTCAGCTTTCAGAAAGAAATCCCGGCGTCAAGGGGTTAAACTAAATCTGAAGTGTTGCTCATATGCTTTGTCAAGATTCTTAATGTGGGCGATTGCCAATAGTGTACCGCCAAGAGTTTGCAACGCAGTGGCAACTGTACTCATTGTGCGTTTGAATGGGTTGACATGTTTGGACGTGTCAACCGGCTATGTACATTTGGAAAGGGTCGACACATCTCGCATAGTGTGATTGGCCAACGCATTGCAAACTCTTGGTGGCACACTATTGTGAAGTGCCGGTTCTGGCGAAGTTATTGGTTGTACAGTTCACATGCGCTGTATGCCAGCCCAGGCTAGCTGTAACCGTGCATGCGTTTGATTGCTCTGCCGTGCAGGGAGGCAGGCATATTGACTACATCGCAGAGCAAGTTGTCTCCAAGCTGATTGACACCATCAAGAAGAAGAACAAAGGCGGTATTGCCATCAAACCATTCCAGGTAGGTATTGAAGCCTCAGTATGGTGTAAAGCATGTTCTCATTGTACCAGTAAAGGCAATTATGCTTGACAGTAATGCAGCGATTCTGTGCAGCACCCCAGAATGTACTGCAATCAAACCCTGATAATAAGAGCGCTGTTAATACAACATCCTGCTTGTAACAAAGGATGTGGAACTTCATGTATGGACTGGATCACATGTACTTAGTGAACATGTGCCAACATATCGTAAATGGCCATGGACCATGCATAAACTGGTCATTCATGGAACCGGCTCTGAAGTGATTTGAGAACCGAGACCCTCACTGGTGCATAAGTGGTTGGTACACAAGTACCAGGTAAAATTCACCAATGTTGAAGTCACAGCCACATGTAAAACAGTCTTCGAGCTTCATGGCTTCTGGCCATCAAAGCTCCGCTGGACCACGGTGCAATAACCAATGTGGTTTGGTACCCAGACACAAGGGTATTTTACAGTTCATTTGTGTACACATTTTCCCTTTTGTGGAAGGGTGCGCTGCTAAATGTACAGCATGCTATACACGTACACGCGGGAGCGTTGGTGACTTGGTATCAATGTTTGGAGTTGTCACTCTTGGGCGCTAAGCCGTGACTGGGACTCAGATTTGATGTTTGGAATCAGCTCTTTGAATATGGAACCGCCAATGGTGGGTACCAGGTTCTTCACAAAAGCAGAGCTGCTGATTGTGATTTTTTCTGGAACTGCGATTCCACTCGGAACCGGGAGTACCACACAAGCCTACATTGTACTTCCTCACTTTGAACAGGTGTTTATTCCTGCCCACTCTGCATGAAGAAATCCTTTGTACTCATTGTTTTAATGCCAACAGCTGCCCTCAGGGAGGATGGCTAATGCAAGGTTTCTGTAATCTAAACTTGTGCCAGATTTTGTTGAGTTCACAATTTTTGGTTTCATTACCAGTTACTGTTTTTCTCACACGTACAATGCGTGTCGGAACGCGTTCTCTGTGGTTTTTCAGAATTCAGTAAAGCTGACTGGCACCCTCAGCCAGTGACATCGAAAAGAGTAACAATGAATGTGTGGGCAGTTGAAACTTTAACGACATTTCAAGTGCTTATAAATAATACTTCGTCAAGAATCGATTGTCCGCATGTTTCTTCTTTCCCTCCAGATCAAGAGCCACGTCTGGCTGTTCGTGAACTGCCAGATTGAAAACCCGACGTTTGACTCCCAGACCAAGGAGAACATGACCCTCCAGGCCAAGCAGTTTGGCTCGGAGTGCAAGATGTCAGACAAGTTCTACAAAGCGGTAAGGAGGGCAGAGGGTCTTGATGAGATGCACTGTTTGAGTTCAGAGGCAGAAGTTAATTAGACACAAGCAAGTGCTCAGATACCAGCATGTCTTCTGCTTTAAGGCCAAAATGCATACGCTGTAAAGTGAACTCGACGAAGCATTGCGACCGCCCCTTCTGTGTGGACAAATGTGGCAAATGGTTGGGTAATATCTAATGGCTAACTCTTATTTTATCCAAGAATTGGGGATATTTGCATTCGGAAATGATGGCCCATAGCATGGATAGATAAGTTGTATTTTTGACATTGTATTGTTTTCTGTCATTCTGTTGCTTCTTAAAGTTTCCATGTTTAATTGTACATGTATTTACATATTTAACCTCAACTCCCTAGAGTGATTTACTGGCAGCCTTTCACATCCTTGCAGTCTCAACATCATATTGTAAACTTGGCACATAAACGGTTGGACTCTGTTTCTTTGTGGTATGCCTAGTCCCACAGAATACATTGCCGATATAACAGTGCATTACTCATCCCAACAGATTCCAACAAATCTCTGTGTTGGAGTTGGGCTGGTTTGGGATCATTTGGGTGAAATATTGTACTTATTTATACTGCGCTTGTGAATATTTTTACGGAAATGCACTTTAGTAGAGTAATACATGTTAAATGTGACGGACGCCGAGTACGGTTTATCAGTTGCTCTTGTGATAGAATTGGTACAGAAAATTGATTTTTAATCATCGTGTCATCTCAAGCGCCCTCACCTATGCGCTGTAGTCCTATTGGAGTCATGGAGAAATGTTTTGTTGTCCTCCTAGGTCCTCGCCTGTTCAAATCCTTCTAAAGACCAGCTAATGAATATGAGGTTTTCCCATATGGAATGGCTTAGATATGTACTTCAAGGCTTACTTGAGACAGAGAATAACCCTCTCTGTCTTGGGAAACACTTGCAACTTGATACATTTCTTGCAACAGTCCCGCGTCCGACAAGGAGTGGTCCATGTGCGAGTGGCAGAGTTCCCAAATCGTCAGGCAGTTACTTGCCAGCATCCTTCTTGTACGTTCTCCTCCATGCTGATGTTGAGACATTTAGTTTCATGGTATAAAATGGACTTTCAAGGGTATTCGGTAGCATGCTTTGTTTTTTCCCCCTCTTCTCAGGCTCTGAACAGCGGTGTTGTGGAGAACATCATGTCCTGGATGAAGTTCAAACAGCAGGTAAAAGTGAATCGGGTTGACTGGTCTAGGAGATACATACGTAGTTATTTGAGTGTTCATATTATTCTTGCACGTTTGAAAAAAATTGTGTTTCAATTGAGAATAGAAATATCATAAATAACCATGTGACCCTGAGAGGCTGTCAAATTGCGAGTCACTTCATAATATGCATTAGAAATCATTGTGTATTTTTGGCACATTGATCCATTATCTTGTTTGATATATTTTTCATTTTTGCCATAAAAACACCCTCACAGAGAGCACTTCCACTTGAAATGAAGTTTTAAATTGATTGCATATATGTGACAGGCACCAAAGTGGTGCTATCATTTGGACATCTTTTTTTTCAACGGTGCAGCATTTGTGTTGATGCAGAGGAGGCTAACGCTGATATTTGCATGCCCATGTCTGTACCCCTAGAGCCAACTGGACAAGAAGTGCCACGCCAGCAAACACTCCAAGATCAAGGGCATCCCCAAGCTGGATGACGCCAACGACGCCGGCGGCAAGAACTCCCACTCCTGCACCCTCATCCTGACTGAGGGGGACTCGGCCAAGGCGCTGGCTGTTAGTGGGCTCGGGGTCGTAGGTCGTGATCGCTATGGGGTCTTCCCGCTCAGAGGCAAGCTGCTCAACGTCAGGGAGGCCAATCATAAGCAGGTATGTAATTCATTGAATCCTAACCATGCCAAATTCAACAGTATTCTGTGTAATTGACACTAAACTTTGAGGGTCAGGGGTGGATATTACAAAGGGATTGAGAAATAATGTCTCATTTAGTAGAATTCACCTTACATTAGTGTATCACAGTGAGGGATGGGGTTTGTGCCATGCTTAATTGTTTTGAAACTTGGCATGCATGTAAAGACGCTCCTTATCATTACAAAAGTGAAGCTTGAACTCAGTCAGATGTGTGGTTTTGCTACAGTCGTTTGAAGTTCAAGGCTACATGCGTGTCAGCCCATGTGCATTGAGCACTGTTGTTCAAAAAGTACACATTTTTGGCTGACCTGTCTCGGAAAAGTGTGCACTGTGTAAGAGCGGTATGCTCCATTTTCACAACTTTGGTGTCTAAATGACTGTGAAGAGTTAACTCTAAAAATTCCTTAGAGTTCAGTTCCTGAAAAAAAATGCACTGCAGCGATATCAAAACAAATGTCGAGGGGTTTGAATTCTGCCTTCCTCGCTTTTTTAGGGTTAAAAGAAAGCTTAAATGACACACAGTGAGTTGACCAATTCTCTATTCGAGCCAATTCAATTGCACATCTGGTTTTGTAGGTTTCACCCCCACCCTGAATTCATTGTTTCAAGCCTTACCTTTCAAAATGAAAATCGTCCTTCCAGATCATGGAGAATGCGGAGATCAACGCCATCATCAAGATCATGGGCCTGCAGTACAAGAACAAGTACGAGCAGCCCGAGTCACTGCGCAGCCTACGCTACGGCAAGCTGATGATCATGACCGACCAGGATCAAGACGGCTCCCACATCAAGGGCCTTCTGGTCAACTTCATCCACAACAACTGGCCCAACCTCCTCAAGCACAATTTACTAGAGGAATTCATCACTCCCATTGTCAAGGTTTGTCAGCCTTTCGTTTATTAAGAATCATCTCAGACTTATCGATGCTTCATGTTCTCAGAGAAATGCCCAACATTTTCCCCTATGTTGTGTCAAATGGAAAGGTTTTGGAGCATCAGTAGCATTTTGTGTTTCTACGTCTTGGACTTTAAAATTGCCATTTAAAAAAGGCTGGCTTTGTTAATTTTTGTAGTATTTATGGATGAATCTTCCTCAAGAGAGTGTGTTGTATGCCGTCATTTTAGAGATCCGACATTTTACCCGAAAGGTCCAAACTTGTTTAGAGTGATACATTGTCAGAGTCTGAAATTGCTTCAGTCTGTTTTCTCTCACTGCTTTCTGTCCCAAGAGTTGGGTTCTTTCTTCCCCAGCTTGTCTTTTACGCTCCCAAACCCCAGCCCCTATGCGTGACTTTTCAGGGAAGAGATTTGTCAGGACTCTTCCTGATTTCAGGAATTTTTTTTATCGGGAGTTTTCTGATTGCAGCATTTTCCAAACAATTTCTTTTAAACTCCGAAAAATTCTGAGTTTACCATTAACCCTAACTCTCCAGAGTGATTTACTAGGAACCATACCCATTCACGCAAATTCCAACTCCATATGGTAAACTGTGCACAAAACTGTTGGACTCTGTTTATTTAGGGTATGCCTGAACCCATGTTATAGCACAAGCAGTTTAAGGGTACAGTACCCAGTGCCACAAATTCACACACTTTGCTGGTGTTCAATTCTGTGTGGTTAGGGAAGGTTAGGGTTGCCAAAGTGTTTTATGTGTAAAACTTGGATACAAGAAATGAGTAGTTTAACTGCTGCCCGTAGGCAAACATAAATATATACTGTAGACCCTGTGCTACTGTTGGGCCCTTCAAACCTTGGGTGATTATCTCATAGCTATTATATTTTTCTCCAATGCTGCCTCTGACCTTGGCATAATTTGTTGTGACTTTGGCTTGCAGGCCACCAAGGGCAAGGAGACCTGTTCCTTTTACTCATTACCGGAATTTGAAGAGTGGAAGAACGCAACTGACAACTGGAGTTCATGGAAGATAAAGTACTACAAAGGTTTGTCTTCAAAAATACCTGAATTTTTTTTTGTTCAAAATGGAATGGCGAGGTAGTAATCAATTCTTTTCCTTCAGTCAAATTAATTTAGCAACTTACTCCCCTTTTTTCTACAGAGTCATGGTTTGTGGTTGTTTTGAGGACTGTTGAGAGTCTGTTCAATCCTACTTGTGATCCGTGAAGTTCAACTGGGGGTGATTGCTTGGGCTTGCCAACAGAAATGTTTCCATTGGTGTTTTAACCTTAACCCAAGGCCCTTTTAAAGGAACTACCTGAATCCTTCGAAATCCTCAGATTTTCAACATGAACGATTGCATTCATTCCAAATCCTCCAGAATTTTTTGAAAATGTCATTTGGAGGTGTGCCTAACTGCCCGAATCCTTCAAAATCCTCCAGCAATTCCTGTCATTATGTTGAGGCAGTGCAAAGGGCACTCTTGAGATGTGCAGTTGATTCCAAAGAAATATTGGGCTGGATTTGTGCTTGACTAAGCACAAACAACATAAGGTCTAATCCACGACCTTCATGCATGGCATTCTTCGAAATCAGCCATGAACTTTCGCCATACACCCAGAATCCTCCGAATTCTTTCACTTTGCAGAAAAGGATTTTGGAGGATTTGGGAGGGTAAGGGTTAATCAAGACCATAGTAGACCAGACTCAAGACCTGAGTTGAGACCAGTCTCAAGTAGCTGGTTTAACTGTGACAAAGAAATGCAGTTGTTGTCATGCATTCAATGACTTGTGACTTAACTTCAGACTGGAGGTCTTGCATTGGTCTCGTTATGGTCTGGTTGGTTCCAAGGATGGTCTTGTTGGGGTTCTAGAGTACAGCACTTGTCTTCCCACTCGCTTGTCACACTCGCTGTTGAGACAGGTCAGATACATCTCCAGAGCAGTGGAATATTCCCAGCTAAGTCAGGGTCTTTGACTTGTAGTTGATGGTTTGAGGGTTTGAATTCAATAATAAGCCATATGCTGTGTCCACTGGGGTCAAACCGCGACACTGAGGTACTACTTACCTACTTTTGCCTGCCCTTCCAGGTGCGTGCGTGGTTGAATTTATTGAGTGAAGCCTCCCGCGGGGCAGAAATTATTACGTATCCCCTCATGTCATGCCAAAGGGATTGGGCACAAATCTCGTATTTTTCATGGTAACTAGACCAAATCCTTGAGTTGCCTCTTAATCTGTGAGCATTTCCTAATGCAGTGTGATAACTCTCCACTCTCTAGGTTTGGGTACCAGCACCATGAAGGAGGCCAAGGAATACTTCAGTGACATGGTCCGTCATCGTATCCCCTTTAAGTACGTGGGACCCGAGGACGACAGCGCTATCGTCCTGGTAGGATTATCTGTATATTTCTCTATTTTCCGTCCCTCATATTCCATGATTTTTGTCATAGGTTTAAATCCCATGTTGTCCAGGCAGTGTTGAGTGCGTGATCTGTAGATATTGTTGGAGCACATGATTTTTTTCCTTCCGACCTCTGAAACCAAACTTGTGAACTTCTCTCTTCAGTGCATGCTTTTTCAATCTTGAGTGAGATGTTTCAGAGACACCAGTGGGCACTCTTGTTGAGTATAAAAATAATAGTTGCTGACATTTTAATGATTTCTTAGCCACAGACTAGGAGCAAGTTGCCTTTGCAATAGCTCATTTGATGTATTCATATTTACGTAGTGAGCATTTATGAGTTCAGCGGTAAGGATCATTTCATGGGATGAGAGATTGAATGTTATGTGACTTGAAACCAGTTGGAATGGAATGCTTCATGGAATGAATCATTCAAGTACATATAATCGATGACCCACCGATGAAGAGGGTGAATTCATTCAGGTGTTGGACACAGCTGTGTGAAACTGAGCCCAGATTATAACCAAGTTGCTGACTCCTAATGGGAACTTGGCCAGCATGAGGCTGTTCAATCCTGCTTTTGTTTGTGTGTGTATGTGCACTGTAGGCTTTTAGCAAGAAGAAGGTTGAAGATCGTAAGGAATGGCTGACCGACTGGCTGAATGAGAGGAAGCGACGGCGTGAGGCCGGGCTCCACGACGTAAGTGTAACATTTGATTTTGGTCTTTTCATTTCTGCTAAACAAAAGCAGCTTGCGTGCGAGAAGTTAATTCATTGTATTTAAGAAAATTACATTTCAAAATTGCAATTCAAATGCCAGTTTTAGAGTTTGTTGTGCTATTCTAATGTCAGTAAGTGACATAAGAATATGCCCAAAGAGTAACTAAAACAAAAGGGAAACCCACAAGTGAGATTGTTATGTTCTCTTTCAGTTAAAGAGCACCTCTAAGTAAAACATGTTTTCTCTGATTGTGTCTGTTAAAATAAATATGGAAGTATCTAAATCGAACGCAGTATCATTTGTCTTCAGAGCTCAACTATAACTAGCCAAGAAGGGCTGTTTTTGTTTTCATGCCAAGATGTGAATGCTGAATGTAGATTCGTCATTTGGAGAAAACAGGGAAAACGAGGGGAACTCTCGCCCTATGTTCCATGTATTTATTGGCATGCACAAGGGTTTACGTTTTCCCTAGAGGTGCTCTTTAATACTTAGTGATGTTTGTTTTGCAAATGGGAAATCACGGAAACGTATCAATCTTACTTCATTGATTGATAGGAAATTTAGGTCCATGCGTATTTGTTGTGTAGTTTTCCTGAAACTGTTGGTTAGGTCTCTGAAAAGGATTGTACAACTGTGAGCGTGTGTGTTAACCTACAACACCATACAACCCAAAGGTGAGAAAGTTGATTGCATCCCGATTACAAACCCGGGTATCATACCTGTCATGGGACTCAAGATTTATGTCTGGATTGTCCATACGACCCGTTGACCCTTAGGTCTACCTGTACGGCAAAGAGACCAAAGCCATCAGCTACAACGACTTCATCAACAAGGAGCTGGTGCTGTTCTCCAATGCTGACAATGAGCGTTCCATCCCGTCCTTGTGTGACGGTAAGTTGGATGGGCGCCCTTTGTACAGAAGCGTGAAACGAGTATTCACTCGGCATGTCTTAGATCTCAGTGACATGTGTCTGGCTCCCGTGGTGTATACACTTAAATGTCTTAAACTGTTTCTTTCTAATTAGGATGTGAAGTTCTTGGACAGAAATGTCTGTAAAATTCAACCAGTGCCAACCAAAACCTTGATTTCCTAGACTGATACCTCACAGAAGCCAAACTAGCTAAATAGAAGAGTGGAATTGTCAGATCTTTGTGTGTGTACATCAACCAAAAGACTACAGTGAAATTTGCCTTAACCAAAATGTGCTCTGCTGTTGCAAATTAGCATTGTGAATATTTGGTCTGACATCACAAATTTGCCGCAAGGCCAAAACTCAGTCTTCTGATACAGAAAGGAGTATTTTTCTGTGCAATTTGGTATTCTACTCAAACTCATTTTGAAAGACTGCTTTCTGGAACTCTGAAGATGACAATGTTGAAGCCATTTTTCCGATCAGCTTAGCTACGTTGAGTTACAGAATCCAGACCTGCCAACTAGTACGATTTTGGCGTATTTTGTACGAAAAATTGAACTTTGATTGTGAATGTGAATTGAAAGCAACTGCTGTGATCAACACCAGGAAATTATAAAGTCCATTTAAGCCTGCACGAATAAGTATTAAAGTTCAAATAGTATGTACTCATGCAAAGGTACTTGTATGCTTGTCTTTCCTGTTTGTTCGGGAAAATACACATTTTTATTGAAAATACACATTTTGGAACCTCTGAATACACTTTTGCGATTCTAAAGGTTGGCAGGTCTGAGAATCTAATCGTCAAGGTATGCATGTTAAGGTGGTACCCACCACACAGCGCTAGCGAATAAATGTGCTTGCCCCGTACACATTAGGCTGGGCAGCAGTGCACAGTACATTGTCAGATAATTGTAGATGTCAGGGCGTCAGACTATCCTTAGCTCCGTGATAGGTGCCGCATGGAAATTTGACTCATATTGGGATTGAATGGCATAGTACTCACTGGCCGGCACACCATAGCAGGCCTGTCAGTATTGTGTATAATAATTTGCCAGGATCGGATTTTCCAAGATCCGTATTTTCAAATGCAGATCTGTACTTCTGCATTCTTGTTCGATTTCCGTATGGAAGGTCCATACTAGTTGGCAGCTCTGCAAGCATGAGTCATCCTTTGTCCCTATCTACCACTAATTACCCCTAGTGCATGTACAAAGAATGTGCCACTCCTTCACTGCTGAGTTGGATGTTGAGCAACTTTGAACTGCCAGGCCAAAAATACTCTGTGATTTATGCCCGGATATCACTGACATAGAGACGTTAATTGGCCAATTGGGTTTTTGTTGCAAAGCTCAGCATGTGTGATCTGTTGTTTTACAGGTCTAAAGCCTGGCCAGCGTAAAGTCCTGTTCACCGCCTTCAAACGCTACGAAAAGAAGGAAGTCAAAGTGGCCCAGATGGCGGGAGCTGTGTCGGAACTCTCTGCCTACCATCACGGCGAGGTATGGAACCTGGAACTCTTCAATGTTCCCAGCCCACTGAATTGAGTTACAAATGACCAAAGTTATATCTTAGGCCTGTTATGAAGCCAGGCTTAGAGAGAGATCAGTTGGAATTGTTCATGCTTTACCCACAAAATTGATGAAAGCAAGTGTGTTGATCTGAATGTGTCAAAATAAGCAAGTGACATTCACGTAAAAATTGACACAAGATGATTGATCGTGAAGTGTTTTTGGGGTGATTGGTCCTCACATTTTGAACATCCTAGATTTCTCCTAACTCAAATCTAAGGTTTTGAGAAGCTTTGACATGTTATTTAGATATCTGTGAAATTTGAATTTCAGAATTCTCTGATGAGCACCATCATCAACTTGGCACAGAACTACGTAGGCAGCAACAACCTGAATCTCTTGCAGCCCATCGGTCAGTTTGGTACACGGCTGTACGGCGGCAAAGACGCTGCCAGCCCGCGTTACATCTTCACGCAACTCAGGTGGGCTCGTGCTCTGACCTCAGTCTTTACCGGGGGGGGGGGCGGAGCTGTACTGATGATGGGAAAATATGGGGGATTTGCATAGCAATTGTGTGAGCAAGTGTTTGGTTATGAAGTGTTTCATTTCAGTGAACTTAGATTGTCTTTGTTTCAAGAGGCCGCATTGTCAAACAAGGCAAGTGTCTGTTTCTGTGTGACTGGCAGTGCGAGCGCTGAAGCAACTTTATGCTCTTTCCAAATTCTGGATGACACGTTGGCACCTGACATACATGTAAACATTACCTGCATACCTGAAAATTCTAGGCAAAACTGACGGTGTACTTGCTTCCCTGTATGTCTTCAAATTTATAACCTAAGAATGAACGATGTGTGGAAGATGCCGTAGAGGTAAGGTCCTCTGTTTTTTCGCTGTATTCCCATGTGAAGTCACACTTAACAGATCCTTGTTCATTTTATCCATAACACCCTCAGCTCCTTGGCCCGTAAGATCTTCCCTGTGAGTGATGAGCCGCTGCTGAAGTCCAACTTTGACGACAACCAGCGGGTGGAGCCCGAGTGGTACTGCCCCATCATTCCCATGGTCCTGGTCAATGGCACGGACGGCATTGGTACGGGCTGGAGCACCAAGATTGCCAACTACGACATCAGGGAGGTGGTGGCCAACGTCCGACGGCTGCTCAGCGGAGAGGAGCCACTACCCATGGTAATGAACTGTGCTCAGGCTGCATCAATTGATGTCCAGTGTTGGACAAATTTGGGCTGATTTTTGTGTTGAGAACTGGCCATATTCACAAAAGAGCTATTTTACTCCAACCGAGTGCCCCACTAATTTGTGTAAGGTGCAGTGTGTTTTAGTTTAGATCTCGTACAAACCGTCACAAGATTATGAATTCAGGTCCCGAGCTGTTCAAATCAGCTGCCACAAAGCTTTCCTCTGCCATTGTGTATGTTGTTACTTGTGACTAGTCTTGCGTCCCGTCTTGTGATGGTCTCACCTGCTGCACTGTACATGCATCATGATGGCTTCTGTGGAAGGCTGTTTTGCAATAACGTGCACAGAAGAAATGAACAGACGTCCTCCTAAATGTTTTAATTGGTAAGAGAGAGCAAAATGAAGCAAATGCTTGGCAGCTTTTGGTACACATCCAGGGATTAGTGCGCTTAGCATCAATTAGTTTAACCCTAACACCCTGAATCCTCCCAAATGCTCAGGGGGCTGGGGGTGGGCATTGGAGGGATGCATTGTGCCAATGTCTTGGATTAGACATGTGTTGTTTTACTCGGCCAAGCATAAATCTGCGTCGCGATTACTTATGGAGTCTTCCGTACTGCTCCAGGATACCATCTGCACTAGCTCAGTGTGAATTTGGGTAGGATTTCGAAGGATTGAGGATATTTAAGAAAGAACAAGATTCTGGAGGATTGAGGATATACCCCAGTAAAAAGGGCCTAAGGGGCTAGGGTTAATGTGCCTAGAAACAAGCAGTGCATATGTGATGTGGGATTTCCGTGGTTTGCCTTTGGTGCATAACCAAAGTGTAAGCAAGACCTTACAGGCTTGAATGCCTCTATGCATTACTTCAGGACATAACCTTGAGAACTTGGAAAAGTTTATATTTGTCTTTGTATTTTTTGGGTTATCTTTTGTCCTCATCCCAGCTGCCGTCGTACAAGAACTTCAAGGGCACCATTGAGGAGCTGGAGCCCAACCGCTTCGTCTGCAGTGGAGAGGTGGCCATCATCGACAACAACACCATCGAGATTACCGAGCTGCCCATCCGCGTCTGGACCCAGAGCTACAAGGAGTCGGTCCTGGAGCTCTTCCTGCATGGCAGCGAGAAGGTCAAGCCTTGCATCACGTGAGCAAAGTTGGCTTGATTGCACTGTAAACGGAATGGAAGAGGCTTTTCACCCTGAGTCACCCTGAACCTTACTGCTGTGGAAGTTGATGGAAGTTATTATTATTCGTAGAGACCCTTACTCAAATATCAATTTCTTTGAGTGATGCATTGAGTTTCACAGTGACTTCATTTTCTCCTCAAATCATACTGTTTTTGAGTCTAGGGTTTATGCTATGTGATTTATTATCTCATGTTAAAAGAAAATGGTGGCCGTATTTGTGCTGATACAATAGATAGAATTTCAAATGACTTTGTTTTTGTGCATGAGTTCACATTGTATGATGATGTGAAACGATTAATGTTCTAGAGCACTATAGCCATATTTTGTTAAGCAAAATCACAAGAATATCACCCTTCAAAAAAAAGTTCCAAATGTTGAGTTAAAAAATGCCGAAATATGAAAAAGTTGTAATCCAAATAATCTCTCCTTCAAAAGTCTTCCAGGAGGCATTGGAAGGGATTTTCCAGATGGGTCATTCCATGAGGTTGGAGCACAATTTGTGACGGTGTCCTTTTTACATCTGCAACTTTTACCACCTGTCATGACCCGTAGAGTAGGTCATTTACTCTGTGAAAATAACACCCACCTCTGTATTCAGCCTTGCGAGGTATATAACAATGTCAATTTGGAATCATGCAGGGAAATAGCTGTTCATTTTTACGGAACCCATGTAACAATAGTCACAAATTGTGCCCCAACCACATGGAATGACCCGGATATAGGCAGCCGTTTTTAGCATGCATGGTATTTGATGCCTCTTGAAAGGGTAAGAACACAGAATGCACGATTAGATTCCTACATAAAGGAAAGTGGAAAGGTTTTCAGGATGGCTCCCTGGTATTCACCTGAAGAGGGAGCTATGGTTCAACCGCCTGGTGCGCTACCCGTGCTCTTATGGGCAACTTTTGTTTCACTCTACCTTCCTCTCTGGCAGGGACTACAAAGAGTACCACACGGACACGACCGTCAAGTTTTTGGTGAAGCTGAGCGAGGAGAAGCTGATGAACTTTGAGCACGAGGGCTTGCACAAGGCCTTCCGCCTGCAGAACACAATATCCCAAGCAAACAGCATGGTGAGTTTTCAGGACTGTGCAGGTTATCCCTCAAGTCCCGTTTGTGACGGTGTACCCAATGCGCGGATAAGGTCAAAGGTCAAGATTAAAACAGGTTGGGTTTAGCACCCCTACTTGTTTGGGGGGGTTCAAAACAAGCATGACAGGAACAGAATAATAGTTCCTTTTCATGGCTTAGAGTAAGGAATGTATTTGAGTTACTGTGACATGTCAATTTCAATTTCATTCCAATTTGTTGTTTGTTATTGTGTTACTAGCTCTTTCCAAATTTTTTTGACCAGCATAATCTTGAAAAAGTTACTCTTCCTCTTGCGTTGGAGGTTTAATCCTCAAGGATGTTGCATCTGACATTTCAAAATGGGTTTTATTGCAGCAATTTCATTACAGATTCCACATATTTTTTTGCTGTTGGTAACAGATTTATAACAAGAGCTTTTCAAACCTTTTTTGCCGAGCAAACGAAACGTAAATTGTACCCTGTATTGTGTAGGAACTGACTAGTGAAGCTTGCTCCCCCTATCTGTCCAGGTCCTGTTTGACCAGCACGGCTGTATCAAGCGGTACAACGACGTACTGGAGATCCTGAAGGACTTCTACGCCGTGCGGCTGGCCCTGTATCAGCGCCGCAAGGACTACCAGGAGGGCATGCTGGAGGCGGAGGCTAGCAGGCTCAACAACCAGGCTCGCTTCATCATGGAGAAGATCGAGGGCACGGTCGTCATCGGTGAGTGGAGACCGTCCTCTCAACGTTTTGGATCAGGGCTCTGCTTCTGACGAGTGTCCAGGGATGTTTCTGAGAGCCCAAACCTGGCACTTGGGGTTGGGCTCTCTTGTAAGACCAGATTTACGTCTTGTAACAGAGTGGCGCTCCGTACAATAGACAGAAGCTCTGTTGGCACAGCTGTCAACCGCTTCATGCGATGTGTACACAGACAGGGATTTCCTGCATTGTAACACAGAGGACGTCTGAACACACTCTAGCAAATTCTGCATGTAGTGCTAGGTGATGCCTGCTCTTGTTCCTATACTTGGGTGACTCCCACCGAATTTGTACACACACAGAGCCATAAACTAGTCCTTGGAAGTTGATCGTTTGATGATGTGGCAACAAATGTCACACAAGTCTTGAAGAAATGATCACCAAGGGCCAAAATTTGGAAAGTCCGAGTTTTTGAGAGGATAGTGGTTGCATCTTATTCTTAGAAGTCAGTAATTTCGGCCAAAAATAATACCCTGGCTAGGACAGGTTTTGAAGTGGAACAATACTTATATA